CCTATAACGAGTATGTTTGAAACACACGTTTGATCAGAAGAGTGCAGGGGTTCACAATCTGTCGAAAATGCGTCTTTTTAAAAAATGTACAAAAAATAAATTATGACACCTACAGTAGATCTGAGTACATAGAAATAATGGATAGCCATAGCTCTTAACAGGTATATAGTGTTTGTGTCTGTGACTAATTTATATACGGTCCAATGGTGGCTGGAATAGTGCTAGGGCCACATAAAGAAAATATTTTTGTTGAAATGATTATTAGTCTCTAGAAACCAGTAGTACATTTAAAATTAAGAACATTTATTTAGAATGCCTCAGTCGATGTATCTTTATGTTATAAATGTATTTATACATAGCTGGTTCAACAATTATTGCGATATGGTAGGGCTACACCAAAATACACTTGCTTATTAAATACAACTACGTAGTTTAAATAGATAACCATGCTTGTCTTGCATTCTCATCCTTAGTGTCTTAACAGTCGTTCTTCACAACTATAACCTGAAAATATGTAATCAATAGCCACAATAGTCACCATAAATGGTCAACATAATTGAGAGAACGTAACAAGGTTTTTTTTCGCAGACAAGGGCTATATTCGTTTAAAGGAATCTAATAACGGTTTATTTCCAAGCTGACTGCAATGTGTAAAAGCATCTGCACTCGTGCACTGATCATTAATATAAATTGACATTGTTAGTAAATATCTCGCTTTCTCTCCCCCCCCCCCCCCCCCCCCCATTCCAGGTACGTTTTGGAGGCATTAACATAACATATGGTTAAAATTGAAATTAAAGATCACACTAAAAAATCTTAGTAATGTAAAGTATTTCAAGCTACATATCATGTACTATTTAGTTTGAAATCATCGCTAAAACCCAACTCATGCATCAAATTTGTGGGGTTTTCTACTTTGAACTAGACATCTATACCAATATATTGTTGACACTGTCGACGAAGTGTACGATCACGTGACCTTTTACATTTAACAGAAACAAATATTCAGCTATTCTAAAAAGATTAGAAAAACATGTAATTCATTTTCAATGTACCCTTTGTCGGAAAAGACAAAAATATTTGAACTAAGCAATCATAAAAAAATTAGACTCCGATTCAAAGTGAAGTGGGGTTTAGCCCATCGGACGAAGCTGAAAAATTACAAGGAAGTCTAATCATTGAACGGCGTTGTAGCTTTATCAATAAAAATATACTGAAGAAATAAACTATAAAAACTAGACTCACAAACTTGTTTATTAAGTAGCTACATGTTTGTATTATTTTACTGTACTCTCAAGCCTCTAAGACAGGGGTTCCCAACCTTTTTTTACTCGAGAGCACATTCTAAAATATCGGTAGGGTGGCGGGCACCACCTATTTTAAATCGACAAACTCCTTCCAGAGGCGTAGCGACCCTTCCCGTCACCCGGGGACAAAACTTTCGATTTGCACCCCCCCCCCTCAAACTTTCGATTTCCATCCCCTTCAACCTTTCAATAATGTATATGAAAAAAAATTCTGTCTGAGTCGAATAGTGAGAGGCGGGCACTTACGAATCGTTCGGCGGGCGCCATCATGGCGCCCGCGGGCACGGGGTTGAGAACCCCTGCTCTAAGACTTGCTAACATCAATTTAGAAAAGCTTGGTGGTGCGTTGTTAACGAAGAAAACGGCCATTTTCTTCGACCGGGCCTAGAGCTATTTTAGTGATCGCTATAGTGTGTTTAGTCGAGCTCGGCCTTTTTTTTACCATGCTCAGAAATGATAAACAAAATAAGTGTTTTCAAAGAAAAAGGACCACGTTTCTGAAAATGCCAATAAAAAATTTATGCGATGATAGAATCACATGGTTATTTTCACATTTCTTAGTTTTTTTTAACATTTAAAATATTTAGTCTAAAGGCTATTCAATTCTGCACATTTTACAGGTATTTGTAAACAAATACGTTGAACTGTCAAAAAAGGCCCGCGAGTTGAATGAGAGAGGGGTCTTAATCCCTTACTCTACTGCCGTTGAAAATCATCTCGGTGATAGTTTTCAATCGGTAAATGAGATACATTTTTAATAACAACAACTATAAAAATTATACATAATTAGAGGGCTTAAAATCTACTTTTTAATAGTACCAAGGTTATTATTATACAAGTCCTTTTTATTACAGAAACTATGAAGTGAAAAGCTACTATATTTGGGCGACGCGGGCGAAAGCGGCGTTTATACGGCCGTTTGACATACCTACTAGATCTAGCACATTTAACGTGGTGTAAATAGGTGGTAAGCTTAAATACAAGCGACTAGATCTAGCACATTTAACGTGGTATCAAACAGTGGTAAGCTTACATACAAACGACTAGATCTAGCACATTTAACGCGGTGTAAATCAGTGGTAAGCTTACATAAAAGCGACTAGATCTAGCACATTTAACGCGGTGTAAATCAGTGGTAAGCTTACATACAAGCGACTAGATCTAGCACATTTAACGCGGTGTAAATCAGCGGTAAGCTTACACACACACGACTAAATCTAGCACATTTAACGTGCAATAAACTATTAGAATTGATAAAGTTTTCACAACTTGAATCTAAGGGTAGCACGTGTCAGGTAAATAATTCAGGAACCAGTCGGCTGGCGCGTGGCTAGCACAGGTGGCAGAGGATGTGACCTTGAACGGCGCTATGGTGAAAAGAGGGGCTGTCACACAAAGGAACAATGGCTCAACGGACGGGTGGGGGCAGTCGTGGCTCGAAGAATGGCTTTAAACGGCGCCTGGTGGTTGTTGTCAAATGGTGGCCAGTGGTTGTTGTCAAATGGTGGCCAGTGGTTGTTGTCAAATGGTGGCCAGTGGTTGTTGTCAAATGGTGGCCAGTGGTTGTTGTCAAATGGTAGCTAGTGGTTGTTGTCAAATGGTGGCCAGTGGTTGTTGTTTCAAATGGTAGCTAGTGGTTGTTGTTTCAAATGGTAGCTAGTGGTTGTTGTCAAATGGTAGCTAGTGGTTGTTGTCAAATGGTGGCCAGTGGTTGTTGTCAAATGGTGGCCAGTGGTTGTTGTTGTCAAATGGTAGCCAGTGGTTGTTGTTTCAAATGGTAGCTAGTGGTTGTTGTTTCAAATGGTAGCTAGTGGTTGTTGTCAAATGATAGCTAGTGGTTGTTGTCAACTGGTGGCCAGTGGTTGTTTCAAATGGTAGCTAGTGGTTGTTGTCGTTACAAATGGTAGCCATGGTTGTTGTCGTTACAAATGGTAGCTAGTCGTTGTTGTTTCAAATGGTAGCTAGTGGTTGTTGTCGTTACAAATGGTAGCCCTTGGCTGTTGTCGTTACAAATGGTAGCCAGTGGTTATTGTTTCAAATCCTAGCTAGTGGCTGTTGAGAACCCTCAGCGCCCAAACTAAACATCTCGTCAGTCATTTTAAAACCGAGGTCCCAGTTAATGACCATACATCAACCTAGCTACAACTTCTAACCTAATACTAACAAACGGTTGAAAGCTAAACGCCCATTAAGATTAGTACTTTACATACTTTATAGAGATCGACTGTTATTGATACGGCTTGACTATCTTGATCTGCTCCTTAGGGGTTTAGTGAAATATCATTGACACGCCTACTATCTTTATATGGTAAGTAAAAGTCGTTTAGCGTAATTGACTTGCATTAATGGCTAATGTTTTCTTTGTTGTTTACATCCCAATGTATGTATGCTTTGTGTTAAGTATCGGCCTATCAATAAGGTTTTAGTAAGGAAGACAACCCTTTACTTCTTTTGAAACTGAACTTTATCACCAGGATGTGTCAAACTGTGATTATATGGGCCAAGCAGGATCAAAAGCGCAAAACATGATCATCCTTTCGCATCTTGTCATAGACATAAGTAGTGGACGTCGTAGTAGAACATGCGACTGCTAACCCGAAGTCTCGTTTTTTAATCCCAGGTTCCTGTCGCCTGTCCCCTAGTCCACTCAGTTCTGATGGGTACCCGAATCACGTTAGGGAAAGTAAAGGCGACTCAGCATAGTGCTGACCACGCTGTCCCTTCATATTACGAGTTCACTGACACAGTTAAACTCTACTTCACCTGCGAATGGACCGCCGGGTTTGAAAGAATACTATTACTTTACTCTAAGGTGACATTTGTCATTTTAGTTGATTTTCTTTAGAAATGAATGGTCATTTTATTTGTAAATTTGTCAGCAGCTACAATAAATGCTGCAGTGAAGTGTTACATGATGTGATTTGTAGATCCCCGATTACATTTGTTATGAACTACTGGTATTCTATTCTTCGCTTCTTCGGCCTAAAATAAAACACAAAAGAAGGGAGGGAGAGAGGTCGAGGTGGTGTCCAGCCCAATAGAAGCAGCAGGCGTAGAGAGAGGAACAGGTGCTCCAGTAGGCAGATGGTTGGGCTCAACAGTACACAGTTCATCAAGTCAAATACAACAAGGAAGGAATAGCCTTGGTGGATTGCGACACCCTGCTTACTACGTTGATTAATTCAATTCAGATTTCTTTTAGATCATCTCACATGCTCACATCTTAAAATTAATTATATTAACTTTTCATTACATACCGTTATTCCCCCCCCCCACCCATTTAATATAGGCCTACATCTATTTTTTGCTCAAAATGTAAAGTCCTAATCCCCCCCCTCTACCCCACCTTCCACAGGGCGCCTTTACCCTTTAGAGCGGGACTTTTAACAACACCTGGCGAGAGTACGAACCCGCGCTCCACCTCCCCCTCCCCTTCACCTCGAGAAAAATAGAGTATAGCAACAGTATATCCGGAGTCCCTCCAACAGGCCTCGCCAGGTATAACAAAGGTTCCGGAAACCCTGGGGGTGGGGGGTGGGGGGGGGGGGGGATTGTTTTCTTTCGTCCAACCCTGGGCGGCAGGTTGGGGGAAGGGGAACGTTATTATAGCAATTAGACTCGGATCAGCGGACGGCACGCGACCAGCGGTATAAAAGCTGCGCGGACGGCGCGTGCCCACATATCGTTCGCTAGTCGGTGCTGGCACAAGATCGCGTGCCGCCAACACACCTCACTCAAGACTTGGCGACAAACCAACAACTAACCAGCTTTCTTCACCTCCTCTAGTCTAGTGTAAAACACACTGCAGTCAATCGAACCTTTTTTCTTCAACAAATGACATAGGAGAAAACACAATTCTCCATCGTTGACTATTCAGTGCTCGGACTTATTGAATCGGATACTTATTGAACTGATCACCCATTTCTACAGTGCCAGCTGATCCAAGTTGTAAGTAGTACTAGCACTCGATGTTTACATCAGTCTCATTTCATTCGAGCTGTCATTTATTTCATTTATTGGTACTGCTAACTTATCATTCGAGGATTTTAAAAACATTAGTAATCTAAAACTAAGAGCTAGTAATTGGTGTTTCTTAAAGTTAATAATTAGGATAGACCTTTATTTAGGCCTATGATAACGACCTATACCTATCTTATTAGTGTTTATTTCAATAGTTTGCTTCAATAGGCCCTAGGCCTATAAATTTTAATTTCTATAACAGATGAATGAAGCTCAATCAAATGAAATTGCTTTCTTTAGGCAGCTATGATTTTAGTGATATGTTTCTGTTATTATGTCCTATAAATAATGCCTACGGAACAAGTGGTCCGATTTAAAAAAGCGATTATGTTTTTGTTCTTGTGTTGGGTTCCCATGTTTCTCATGTAAATAGTGTCTAGACTGCTGTTACCAGTCAGAGCCTCAGCTCAAACAAAGAGCTTTCACTTGATCGAACAAACGGGAGCTTATCTACCAGCTGTTCCTGGTCCAGGTCCATAGTCTGGCTGACTGAGTACCTGACTGCTGGGCTAGCTAGCTACCATGTTATCAATAGACATGAGACGACTCATGCTATAGGGAAGGGTTTCATGGTGATAGATTAGGAAGGAAGGAAAAGGGGAGCAGATGAGGCTAGAGAATCTATGAATAAAAGAGTTGCCAACCCTGCCTTGGTACAGCCTGCGGGAGCTTGCTTGCCTAGGTCGTTTGTAAAATATCGGCAGGTATACCTGCCAACGTAGTTCTGGCATTTTCATAGGTGTGCTAGGCCAGCTCGCAGGGGAGTTGGGAGCTTTTTTTCTTACCTTCAAGGTTAAACTTTGTTAACACATTTTACCGACAAAGTAAAAAACAATCTTCAAGTTTTAATCTCCTAAGCATATTACTATTACAAGTATTTTATGACCTAGATAAAAAAATCTGTACCGTACTAGACTTTTAGTAGACAACGAAGAGAATGTTTCGAGTTGGAAGTATAAAATGTTGGTCAGCAAGTACCGAACGGAATCAATGTGAGAGGCTTGTGGGAATGAACAATTCCACAAGCTGGCCATTTTCCCACGCTATCAGACTACAGGTACGCTCACGTTCTGGCACATGTTTGATGGTCTCTTAGTACCTGCACTCAGGGCCTGGGGGAGGGGAGGGTATAGGTAAAAGTTGGATTTATGAAAATGGAAAAAATCTGTGCGCAGACCTTAGTCCTCCTTGGGCTGTAGCGCCACAGGTTGATGGAGGGCTTTGGAGGGGGTAGCTACGATACCCTCCTCCATTTCTAAACACCTTACCTCATTGGTACTCAGAAGAGAAGAGGGGAGTGAAAAGGACAAATAAGCATAAAAATTAACATGTTCAGTAAAGTGAATGTAAAAGAAAAAAAAAGGCAAAAAGTACTAGATCTAGAAACGGCACGTAGTTGGCCGATAGTTTGAGGACACTGTGTTGTGAACACTTTCAACATCCGATATTCTAGTTATCCAATCTAGTATAGCTTCTCGCGGCTGGAATTTTAACAACAGTTCGGGCGGAAAGACGAAGCTACGAAATTCAAATTTTCGTCAGCAAATGGTTAAGGTCTACTAAAAGTACTATTTTACTAACACAAAAGGAACATAGATACTATTGTACTATGCTGCCTAACTTGAATTGTTAAACAATGAAAATCGAAGTTGTATTTTGCAAAAATGAACATTTATTATTGTTGAACCTAGATCTAGATCTAATTCGAAAAACGATGATTGTATAAATGCCGTAAAGTCATGTTTTTTGTTTCTTGGTATCATTTCAGAATAATCCAAGTTTTTCTGCCACCAAACATGGCCAGAAGCCTGTTGTACACCTGCCTCTTGCTAGCCTCCTTTTCCATAACCAAAACAAAAGGTAAGATGATAAAGAACAGTACAGGTTCTTACTATCTTAGTGTGTAGAGAACGGGCTGGCAGAATCAAGTTGTTTGAAATCTTCATCCACCGACTGTTGACATAGGGTTGTGTCAGTGTCTGACCATGTTTGTCATTCCGTCAAGTGTTCACATGGCTCTCTGCCCAGCTGACACTTGCTACTGTGTGCTCTACATTAGACTTGAGACCAAGTAGAGAAACCTCTGTGCTCTACATTAGACTTGAGACCAAGTAGAGAAACCTCTGTGCTCTACATTAGACTTGAGACCAAGCAGAGAAACCTCTGTGCTCTACATTAGACTTGAGACCAAGTAGAGAAACCTCTGTGCTCTACATTAGACTTGAGACCAAGCAGAGAAACCTCTGTGCTCTACATTAGACTTGAGACCAAGTAGAGAAACCTCTGTGCTCTACATTAGACTTGAGACCAAGCAGAGAAACCTCTGTGCTCTACATTTAAAGCTTGACCCACACATTTTATTAAGATAAGCTTACATGTCTTGAACACTTTTTAAAAGATGACATTGTGTTCTTAAATGTGTCAACGCAAAGAGCACAGGAGCAGAATGTGCACTGATAAATCAATTATTGGATTTAAAAACACACTAACAATTGATTTTTTTGTCACTAGGTGAGATAGTGTCCTCATGTTTTGGTGTAAACAAGACAATCAACTTTGACTGTGGTGTGGGCAACATGGTACACATCACCCGAACATTCTATGGCTTTAATCCTAATGGCCAATGCCGCCTCATTGAAGGGGAAGCAGGTGTTGAATGTACTTTGGATGAACATGCAGAATATTCCTGTGTTGGACAGCAGTCATGTAGCATTAATCTGCCAAGTGGGCAATGGGGAGTGAGCATAGCAGCTTGTGGTCAAAGGAGCAATTACTTTCAAGTTGAATATACCTGTGTACCAGGTGAGAGAGCTTTTGGGAACTTATTTCTACACCTTAGTGTTGTTGGCACTTATCAATCTTAGGTCATATTGCTTTAATTCCAAAAACTTTAATAGGAATTTATTTTCTTCCTGCAGTTAGTTCAGTCACCAACATTTGCAACCAGCAGAAATTAACCGCACAGAGTGGCTACATTATGACCCCACGTTATCCATCTAAATATATTGACCAGGTGAGTTATACTTTCTTTAAAGCTTCACTTTTGACTGAAGTTTAGATGATGTTTTGTCTGAAGTTTTGATGAGATCTTGTCTGAAGTTTAGATGATGTTTTGTCTGCAGTTTTGATGAGTTTTGTTGAAATATTGCAGCATGCAGACTAGAGACTCTAATGGTATTAAAACTTGAATCATTTTCAGAAGGAATGTTCGACAACAATCCTGGTCCATCCATCGCAGAAGCTGAACCTACACATAATTGAGATGGATCTTGAGCCAAGAGGCCGCACAGACTGTGCTGATCTTCTTTATTTCAATGACAAACTGCGCAGCATAACGCTATGTGGACAACGCACTAACAACAGCTACAGCATGCACTCAAACTTCCTAACCATTCAACTTCAATCCAGCAGTGGTGGCCTCAGTAAAGGCTTTTGGCTTTATTATGAAGGTACTTTGTCTTCACTCTTGTATAACATTTTAAGACGTTCTGATTTTGACAGGAATATTTCCATGTGGCTAGATGAGTTCAGTGTCCTAATGTTTATCTGTTTTTGTTTCAGCTGTCCCACCACTTCCAACATCCTTGACCCCTCCACCAGTAGCTCAACAAAAAGTAACAGCAGCAGATGAAACACAAAATGATTCCTCTGATGTTAAAGTTGGTGAACCCAAACAAATCAATGAAAGTGGCCAACAGTCTCTATTTATGACCACCCTTAAAACTCAGTCTCGTACTACAGTCCCCATGTACTCTGTATCTAAAAATTCTGGAAAACAGTTGCCATTTGGTAGGTTGACGGCATTTCATTAGTTTCACATCTTAGAAAGGAACTGTTGTTTTATCTTTATTTCATTTATATTTACACATGTATTAAGTGTATTCTTTCCTATCTACAGCTGCCATTGCTGGTGGAGTCATTGGTACACTGAGCTTGATACTTGTTCTTCTTTTGCTGTTATTATTCATTAAATGGTAAGTCCAGGTTTAAATCGTAGACAAAAGAATGTGAAAATCTTTTTAAGTTACCAATAAATTATTCTTAAAAGATTGTTTACCTTTAAAAAAAATCTTTTTTTCTTCATAGGTGCAAAGAAAGAAAATACAACAAAGCTGAAAAGATTCTGGAGATAAGAAATCCAGCATTCCGAAGTAGCAACGACTTTCATGAAAACCAATCTAACAATGGTTATTACTGTTGAAGAGACCATTCAACTGAAAGCTATGATGACTATGAGGCACCAGAAGACAACTGTTAGCCAATTAGATTGACACCAGTTCAGTAACTGCACGGCTGTGAAACTTGGTAACCAAAGAAAAAACCTGAGCTGAAGCTGAACACGGCTAAAACATCAACAGCCCCAACTCATTTTCTCTCTCTACAGTCAGTTGATACTTTAAGGAAAGCCAAGAGTAATTTTAAGTTGGCTACATACAATTCATGCATAAACTTCATATAAGAGTTTTCCCCCCACTAATGTACAAGGAAACTATCCAGTTCCCCAGAAATCTGGGTTGCCACAAACTCATTTTTTTGTCAAGAGAATTACAGCACTGCTTCATGAAGGAGGAAGCAACAGCAGCATTTCCACATTCCATTGCTGCACATGGACTATAAAGATGTTTGTTGGAGGTCATTTAGAAGATAAGAAAATGGCAAAAAGTGAAGTCTAAACTATGGCCAGCAGCAGACAAGTGGAGATAACCTACATGTGTTAGATTATTTGCTTCATGGTCTCTACATTTTTGTATAGGATCAACCAAGCATGGTATTTATTTATTTTAATGATAATTGTTGTCACTATTTATACTTTAATTTATTTGTAAATAGTTTTAAATATTTTAATTGCATAAATTATATTTGATTTGTACATTAATTTCTACATTGTTTTATGAAATCAATAAAACGATGCAGGGTAAGCAACAGAAATTTTGAATCAGAATATCAATGATTTTAATTAGGCATAATCTATATTGATGGTTGATTTTTAAAAGCAGATCTTAATCAAAAATGTTTTATTAAAGAGTAATGAAAAAACTAGTAGTATATAAAACAATTGACAATTAGAGTCAACAAATGATCTCACACATTATGTTTATAGAGCAAAATTGATTATTTTGTCTTATTTCTTTTTGTACAATACTGTATAAATGTTTTTTTGTTAATCTTTTTCACCAAATCTAGTCATATCAAAAAGAAAATGTATAATGAAAATCTTGTTTATATTCATGTGGGATAATTTGACATATACAGTTTTGAAATATTTTGTTTGTTGCACAATTTATGCTGTGGGTTAGCTTCCACAAATAATCTCTACAATTAGGGTAAGTAAATGATGTGGTAAATAATGTATGATAAGTGCTTGTTAAAATAACAAAGAAATGTGTAGGAACTGGGAATATCTTAACATTGCTGTTTGAACCTGAAATTGTAACAGAAAAAGAGCACCAACCCACTCTCATTGTATATAAAGTCCCTGTGATATCTAGTCATTCCATTGGTAGTAAATGTAACTTAAGTAACAGTTTTCACAGATTAGCTTAGTTTGTGAAGGGAAATGAATATTGCTTAAAAAAACTGAGGTGAGGTTTGTTAGGGAAAATAATTTGATAATATGCATTTTATAACCGTCCATTTTTCTGATTATGCAAAGTAATTCTTTTAGCCAAAGGTCAAAGCATAGCATAAAATGTTTGCTACTATTACTATACTAAATAGGCTTGACCTTTAGCTTTAGTGAATGTAACTTTTTTCTTGTTGCTTGCCATTCATGTACAGTGGCTCACAAATGTATTTGTCATCAACAGCATTATTTTCTATACTAATGATCACTCATGTACTGTTCAAATATTGCAGAAAAGCACTTTCAATTTGTTTCAAAAATTAAATTAATGCTTAGAATTTGTTCAGAAAGCCATTAGGGCTGGCTTCTGATATCAAATCCAAATTTAATTTATACCCTTTACTATTTATTTGATAATTTATTCTTTGGGTTGTGAAGTACTTTGTTGGACTTACAAACATGTATCTAGTCAATTTGTATGTATGTAAATATTCTGATCTACAATAATGAATGAATGTATTGGAATGCAGGCCACAAAGTTGCTATGTTTTTATTTAGGAGGAAAACAATAATTGTACTATTATCTATACTTTGTTTTTGTTATATTTTACTAAAATGAGATTAACAAAAAAAAAATGGATTTACCTTGGATTCATAATGAGTCTCCTAAAAAAGTAGGTCCATGTGATGTAATCCATGGCATCTTGCTTTGAACTGATTGTTCCAGCTACAATCTCAGCATTAAGGTGGTCAGACATCACTTCCAGAAGGCTGATAGAAAAATAAATACATATACACATATATCTACCCATACATATATATATACATATACATAATATATATATACATAAGAAAAATAAATACATATACACATATATCTACACATATCTACACATATATACATATACATAATATATATATATATACATATACACACACATCGCTATACTATAGATCAGGGGTCGGCAACCTGCGGCTCGCGAGCCGCATGCGGCTCTTTTGGTGTCCAGATGCGGCTCTTCAGCTCCATGCACAAATATTAATAATTATTTTATTTTATTTTCAAAACTCATAAAAATATTAATCTGCAACACTCGGTAATAAACGATATAACAATAGATATAAGCAATAAACATTCATTATTATATTAAAATATTTAGTTACTCCCTATCTCAATGTACTTCCTATTACATTGTCCATTCCAAATTGAAACATTCAACTTCATAGTGGATATCACAAATAAACTAAGCCAGCTAATGATTAGTGTAAAACTGAAAGGAAAACCCGGACTATGTCTTGCTTGAAGAAGTGGTTTGTTTTTAAAAAAAAATACTTTTTTGTTGAATAGGCCTACATGGTGAGCGGTAAATTACTAAATTACGAAAAATCTGAAAAAAATATCGTTATGAAACCAATGCTACTATTCAATCACTTCAGCATTAATATAAACAAAATGAAGGATGTTTTCACTGAGAGATTTGAGCAATTCAAAACAAATGCAAGTACTCTGACTTACATAGTAGATCCTCTCAGCACAAATTCAAATGAGATTATTTCATATATTCAAAGCTATTTATTTCAAATTACATATATAATATATTTGTTTAGGATTATATATATATATATATATATATATATATATATATATATATATATATATATATATATATATATATATATATATATATATATATATATATTTATATATAATCCTAAACAAATATACTATTTACATAAAAATGTTAGTGGCTCTTTAAAAACGGGGGTAATGTTGTAAATTGTAACTTTTGGCTCTTTTGTCTTAAAAGGTTGCCGACCCCTGCTATAGATGGAACCATAAAAGTAAACATCCAACCATGCAGTGTTTTTCAGTGCACCACAATGTCATATGTGGAGTGATAGAGTAAGGTTTGTTTATATAACAACATAAAGTTATTTTATAGTTGCAACTGTTTTTACTCTTTTGCATAACGTAAAGAAAATATTAAATACACGCACATTCCTAAAACATATTAAAAGGATCAATGTCAAATATCATTTTCGTTTATATTCCTAGAAAAAGTGGATACATTTTAATAACGTAATAACAGTAGGGTAGAAAAATCAAATTAATTTAACTCTTTTTTTTTCTAATTTTGACAAGGGAGGTAATTTAAAAATAAATTAAAAACACGCTAATTAAAAAAAAGTGAATGCAAATCAACGGATGTCCTAGAAGGAATTAGTGTTGCAATAATATAATAAGCAAAATATGAATCCAAATTATGCGGATGTGTAAGAGGAAAGTTTGTTAGATAATTATAATTAGCATGGATTGATAAAGGCACATATATACATACACATATATATACATATATATATATATATATATATATATACATATATATATACATACATATATATATATATATATATATATATATATATATATATATATATATATATATATATATATATATATATATATATATATATATATATACATACATATATATATATATATATATATATATATATATTTATATATATATACATTTATATATACATTTATATATACATATATATATATATATATTTATATATATATATATACATTTATATATACATATATATATACATATATATACATATATATATATACATATATATACATATATATACATATATATACATATATATACATACATACATACATACATATATATATATATATATACATATATATATACATATATAAATATATATATATATATATATATATATATATACATACATATATATACATACATATATATACATATATATATGTATACATTTATATACATATATATATATATATATATATATATATATATATATATATATATATATATATATATATATATATATATATACATATATATATATATATATATACATATATATACATATATATGTTCTAGATCAGCTGACAGGCAAGGGATTTGCAGTTTATCTTCCTGCTAGTATTGACATATCAAAGATAAGGAAAATCGTATTATACTGGGCACATTTTAGGTAGACAATTACCCAACTGATCTTAAAACCCAAAGTTAATAGGCCTCTTGTATTAAAGATGGATGGCTGAATTGAGCCTGACAATTCAATTAAGATGAATCTGTAGGTGGTTGACGGTTTATACCCAGCATGAATAACAAAACAAAAGTTGTACAGGCGCTTAAGTGGACAGACCTTGTGACAAAAAATGCCTTGCGCATGCCTGGCACTGAGCTAGGCGCTGAAATTAATTCAAGTAGGCTATTGATCTGCTTGCGATGAGTTATTGAAAGTAAGATATTTATGGTTTTTAATTAGTAGTTTCAGTAATGTATTTGCTGTCGTTTTTTCTTCTTTGCGCTGCAGAATTTGTTTTAAATTTTATTTACTTATTCTACGAAAAAGGCGCCACTATCTTTAAAATGGTTCTAGGGGGCTGCTCCCCACCCCACCCTGCATACACTACTGGTGTTTGACTTATTTGAATTCTACTTTCAAATCAGCACACTGTGTTTGACTTACTTAGATTCTACTTTCAAATCACCACACTGTGTTTGACTTACTTAGATTCCACTGGAAATGGTTCATATAAAAACTTTTTATAGAAGTGTTTCTTAACATCATGGACCAGTATGACTGCTACACCTTGGTCATCAAACTGTGGCCGTCCAGCTCTACCCATCATTTGGAGGACATCTGAATGACACAAAGCATCAATTATTTGGTCAGGTCATTTAGAGCTAAACTTTCTTTGAGAGAGTTCAATAACCTTGAACTATTGTCACTAGAGTCAATAAAAGAATTAGCATTTTAAAGCAAAGTGTATATGGTTGTTTTGTGTTCTGCTCGTCTCATTGCAATGGTTTAGTTATAAAAATTACTTTAGGCAGTTACCTGTTATAGGAAAATCAACATATCTGCGAGTTTTCCCATCAAAATATTCTGTACCTTTGACAACAACCAGATGAGCAGGAAAGTTAACTCCCCAGGCCAGAGTACTAGTTGCTATCAAAACCTGGTATGGTAAACAAGAAACTATTGTTAGATTAACTTCTGCAAGTAATAATCATGAAAAAATCATCTATTATTGGTTCTCATTTTAAAAATAAACTTTATCAGGTAATATGTTCATTGTCAAAATCAAACCTCCATCATTATATTTAATAAGACCACAGTTTAGGTAGTATCAAACCTACATCATTATATTTAATAAGACCACAGTTTAGGTAGAATCAAACCTCCATCATTATATTTAATAAGACCACAGTTTAGGTAGAATCAAACCTCCATCATTATATTTAATAAGACCACAGTTTAGGTAGAATCAAACCTCCATCATTATCTATATATATAATTCTCCTCTTCGAGCCGTTAGAAAACAAGCTGCAAACGCTCTCCCTACCTCCCCACCCCTACATGGTTTTAGTGAGCTGTGTTCACTCTAAATGTTTACAAGCAGAGCCAACGATTTTAAACGTAGGGGGGGGGGGGGGGGGGGGAAGGAGGGGGGGGTTATGGTCCTTAACGAGCTACTTATAGTGTTTTAAAGAAATATTTTCAGTGTCAGCGTTGGTACTGTCGAATTCACAAATTATGAATTATTGAAAATTAGAAACAACTAAATAGCGGCGTATGTTACGCCGCGGGCCGGCTTGTATTTAATAAGACCACAGTTTAGGTAGAATCAAACCTCCATCATTATATTTAATAAGACCACAGTTTAGGTAGAATCAAACCTCTATCATTATATTTAATAAGACCACAGTTTAGGTAGACTCAAACCTCCATCATTATATTTAATAAGACCACAGTTTAGGTAGTATCAAACCTCCATCATTATATTTAATAAGACCACAGTTTAGGTAGAATCAAACCTCCATCATTATATTTAATAAGACCACAGTTTAGGTAGAATCAAACCTCCATCATTATATTTAATAAGACCACAGTTTAGGTAGAATCAAACCTCCATCATTATATTTAATAAGACCACAGTTTAGGTAGAATCAAACCTCCATCATTATATTTAATAAGACCACAGTTTAGGTAGAATCAAACCTCCATCATTATATTTAATAAGACCACAGTTTAGGTAGACTCAAACCTCCATCATTATATTTAATAAGACCACAGTTTAGGTAGTATCAAACCTCCATCATTATATTTAATAAGACCACAGTTTAGGTAGACTCAAACCTCCATCATTATATTTAATAAGACCACAGTTTAGGTAGTATCAAACCTCCATCATTATATTTAATAAGACCACAGTTTAGGTAGAATTAAACCTCCATCATTATATTTAATAAGACCACAGTTTAGGTAGAATCAAACCTCCATCATTATATTTAATAAGACCACAGTTTAGGTAGAATCAAACCTCCATCATTATATTTTACGAGCCGACCTGCGGTCTATCATACGTCGCTATATAGTTGTTTTATTTTCTACTTTTCAGTAATTCATAATTTGTGAATTCGACAGTACCAATGCTGCCACTGAAAATATTTGCTTTAAAACACTATCAGTAGGTCGTTAAGAATGATACTACCCCCACCCTCCTTTCCCCCAACCCTACACTCCCCCCCCCCCCACCACAGTGAAAGCAGCCTCCTCTTAGTTACCTCACCTAAGTTTAAAATCGTTTCAAACTAAATTATCTGCCCCTTATAGCCGTCACTAAACCCGCTCTATGATTGTAAACATTTAGCATGAATCACAGCTCACCAGACCATGTAGGGGTGGGGTGTTAGGGAGCGCGCTTACAGCTTGTTTTCTAGCGTCTCCAAGAAGAGAATTATATATATAGATAAGACCACAGTTTAGGTAGAATCAAACCTCCATCATTATATTTAATAAGGCCACAGTTTAGGTAGAATCAAACCTCCATCATTATATTTAATATGACAAAAGTTTTGATTGTTAGAAACAAACCTACATCTTTGCTTTAAGCAAAAAAAAAAAAACCTCTTTAAAATGCATGAAAAATAATAAATAAGCAAATTCCTCATGGAATATATGGTAACTTTAGACCTGATCAACATAATTACACAAATATGCCCTTATAAAAATCACCTGTACTACTTTATTTATGTAATTAAATATTCTTAACCATGTTGTTACTAAATAAAATTATACATTTGTTTTTTAATGAATGATTCATATCACATTAGATAAAAATTAAACATTTGTGTTTAAAAATGAGTTACGGGATTTAAGAAAAACCCATTGACATAAAAATGGACTTTGTGCTCAGTAAAAGCTTGTAAAAAAAAAAGTGGATTGCCTGTATCTTCTGGTGGACAAACAACTCCTCTACAACTTTCCTGTCTCTTTCTGTCAGGCCTGCATGATGGATGCCAATGCCAAAAGCCAATGTGAGTTTTAAGTTAGATTCCTTTACTCCAGCACAAATCAGTTCAATCTGTTGAATAAAATGACATTTTACTGAGCATACCTGTTGGAGTTCTATTTACTTATCACAAGGATTTCAGTAGTTCTTAAAATACATAATAAGAAGGCTGACAAACATGTCTGGCCTTGTATTAGAATTTCAGAAGAAATTGTACATAAAGCCTTATTAACTAGCATTAGCTCTAATCGTTAAAAAATTGATGTTTTTAATGCGAGCAGTTTGTCTTTATTTAGTTTTTTTTTAAATTAAACTACTTAATTTTATAGTATTTATCTAAAGAAACTTCAAATTCAAAACATTTATTTCAAAACAAAACAGGGAAAGCAGCAAGAAAATTGTTTGGTAGAAAATACTTTAAAATTTGTCTCCCTTGTATCAAGTAACTAGTACATAAAGTAATGATATTGGCTCTTTCTTAGTGGGCTTATATCAAATGAAATGGTAACAATACAATTAAAAACTCAACTCTTATTTAATTTTTGTAAAATATTTTACTGGCCAATGTATATAAAATAAAGGTTGTCTTAAAATTGTACCATCAGATACATTTACTCAAACAACCAAAGGGAGCAGGAACACTTGAAGCTGGAATACACAGTGAGTCTCTCTGAGTTCATAGAGACACATAGGAAATCAATATAAATTGTCTACATATAAAGTAACTTGTTTTAACCCAGTTAAAAAGTGCTAGCTTAAGAGGGGGGGGGGGAAGATATAATAATATGAAAATTTTCAGTTTTCAGTTACAAAAAACATCTCAATATGTGCTAAAATATTTTCCAAAATTACTAAAGATTATAAACCAAAACTTAAAATTTTCAAAATTGGGAATTTCATTTATAATAAATAGTAAAAGAAATGAGTTGTTACATATTCAATTATTATCTTTTACATTTTTAGATCAATATGTAAAACATGTTTCATGTTAAAAGAATCCTTTTTGTTACATCCATTAAATAGGATTAATAAGTATTAATCTGTGTATAGCTGGCACACTTAGCCACTTATCTACAGTGGCTACAACCACATGTCAACATCTGCACCACTTGGTGAAACAATAAACAGCCACTATCTACAGTGGCTACAACCACATGTCAACATCTGCACCACTTGGTGAACCAATAAACAGCCACTATCTACAGTGGCTACAACCACATGTCAACATCTGCACCACTTGGTGAACCAATAAACAGCCACTATCTACAGTGGCTACAACCACATGTCAACATCTGCACCACTTGGTGAAACAATAAACAGCCACTATCTAAAGTGGCTACAACCACATGTCAACATCTGCACCACTTGGTGAAACAATAAACAGCCACTATCTACAGTGGCTACAACCACATGTCAACATCTGCACCACTTGGTGAAACAATAAACAGCCACTATCTACAGTGGCTACAACCACATGTCAACATCTGCACCACTTGGTGAAACAATAAACAGCCACTATCTAAAGTGGCTACAACCACATGTCAACATCTGCACCACTTGGTGAAACAATAAACAGCCACTATCTACAGAGTCTACAACCACATGTCGACATCTGCACCACTTGGTGAAACAATAAACAGCCACTATCTACAGTGGCTACAACCACATGTCAACATCTGCACCACTTGGTGAAACAATAAACAGCCACTATCTACAGTGGCTACAACCACATGTCAACATCTGCACCACTTGGTGAAACAATAAACAGCCACTATCTACAGTGGCTACAACCACATGTCAACATCTGCACCACTTGGTGAAACAATAAACAGCCACTATCTACAGTGGCTACAACCACATGCCAACATCTGCACCACTTGGTGAAACAATAAACAGCCACTATCTACAGTGGCTACAACCACATGTCAACATCTGCACCACTTGGTGAAACAATAAACAGCCACTATCTAAAGTGGCTACAACCACATGCCAACATCTGCACCACTTGGTGAAACAATAAACAGCCACTATCTACAGTGGCTACAACCACATGTCAACATCTGCACCACTTGGTGAAACAATAAACAGCCACTATCTACAGTGGCTACAACCACATGTCAACATCTGAACCACTTGGTGAAACAATAAACAGCCACTATCTACAGTGGCTACAACCACATGCCAACATCTGCACCACTTGGTGAAACAATAAACAGCCACTATCTACAGTGGCTACAACCACATGTCAACATCTGCACCACTTGGTGAAACAATAAACAGCCACTATCTACAGTGGCTACAACCACATGTCAACATCTGCACCACTTGGTGAAACAATAAACAGCCACTATCTACAGTGGCTACAACCACATGTCAACATCTGCACCACTTGGTGAAACAATAAACAGCCACTATCTACAGTGGCTACAACCACATGCCAACATCTGCACCACTTGGTGAAACAATAAACAGCCACTATCTACAGTGGCTACAACCACATGCCAACATCTGCACCACTTGGTAAAACAATAAACAGCCACTATCTACAGTGGCTACAACCACATGTCAACATCTGCACCACTTGGTGAAACAATAAACAGCCACTATCTACAGTGGCTACAACCACATGTCAACATCTGCACCACTTGGTGAAACAATAAACAGCCACTATCTACAGTGGCTACAACCACATGTCAACATCTGCACCACTTGGTGAAACAAAGGATACAGTGAATATTTTGTTAAAGTGTCAGGAATAGCTTTAATAATATAAACATCTACACCAGTGGTTCTTCACCTGGGTTGGATCAAAACCAATGGGTTCAGTGAGTCAGTCTCAGGGATTTGGCGGAGGTCGTGTCACACCCCACTCAAATAATTTGTGATCTGATTTTGTCAGTGCAATGATAGAATGAGCTGCAGCTGCTGATGGCAGTTCAAATAGCAAAGCGCAACATAACAATACAGTACTATTTCTATGGAATCTATAACTATGGAATTCATGACGTCATGACACACAGTGATGGTGTGTTGTGTGATTTCATTCTTAATATTTTAATCCCTTTATACTATGCACACACAAAATAAAATAAATAAAGACATTGCATAAATATGCACATTATGGATTCACATATATAATGGAATGGGACAGAGTCGCCTAGCAGCAGAGAGCTGGACTGAGAACCCGTAAGTCTTGATTTGAATCTGGGTTCAAGTCAGTAGACCATCCCTGAGTCCACCCAGCTCTGATGGGTACCTAACTCACATTAGGGTAAGTAAAGGTGGCTGGGCATAGTGCTGACCACACTATCCCTTCATATGCCGAGGTCACAGAAATACGTGAACTCTACTTCACTTACCCCGTAGACCGTCAGGTTTGAAAGGGAACTTTACTTTATATATGATGGAACTTGATGGTAGTCAGCGTCTTAGCCACTCTTAGCTGCATGATTAGCAATGCCAAGTTGAGCAACACTAGTCTAGCACATACAAAACTATGAGAACACTTGCTGGAGATGGAAAATACAACAACAAAAAGCTAACTGAAATCAAGATTAAACCACCCATTTCTAAACTTGTTTCTGAACTGCAAAAACACATTGATTTGCAGTTATTATTCATTATTATTGTTTTTTGTGAGTGTTAAAATCTATTTTACTGGTTTTATTAATTGATGATGTTGATAAATGGCTTTTTTGTGCAGCAGTTAAAATATATACCTATGTTTTGAATTTGACAAAAAAAAATGTTTTCATATTTAGAAGGGTTTGGTGAATGCACATTTGAAGCTGGTGGGGTTCAGTACCTCAAAAAAGGGTTAAAAAGAAGCACTTATCTATACAAAATAAAATTATAGGTTAATTTGTTTTAATCTGATTATTTGCTCCTCAAGGTCTTTCATCCCAAAATGCAATTGTTTTAAAGTCTCTAGTCTCATCCTCTCAGCTCGAATGAACTCTTCCAGTTCTAGATGTTGCCTTCTTACTGTCTCTTGTAGCTCAGCTTTCTGCGCAAGCATAGCATGGAGACGAAGTTGGTGGAATGAACTTTCATCTGGGCTTGTTATCTTCATCAGAATCAAGGCCAAGTCTAGGAGACAAACAGCCAGTAAAATATGCCATTTTCCTAATGGACGTATCAAATACAGCAGTTGAAACATGGATTCTCTCTAGGAAACAACAGTTCCAAGGCTAATACTCTAGTCACAGATTTTTACATGTAAAACAGTGTTAACTTTCATGACATAGTTTTTTTTTTATTAAGGGGATAAAAGTTATCAATTATTTTTATGAAGGGGTTAAAATTTTTCAATTAAATGGCTAGCTACAGATTAATCAAGTTAAAGCCAGCTACAAATAAATGCATTTAAAGCCAGCTACAAAATTATCCATGAACAGCCAGCTACAAAATTATCCATGAACAGCCAGCTACAAAGTTATCCATGAACAGCCAGCTACAAAATTATCCATGAACAGCCAGCTACAAAATTATCCATGAACAGCCAGCTACAAAGTTATCCATGAACAGCCAGCTACAAAGTTATCCATGAACAGCCAGCTACAAAATTATCCATGAACAGCCAGCTACAAAGTTATCCATGAACAGCCAGCTACAAAATTATCCATGAACAGCCAGCTACAAAATTATCCATGAACAGCCAGCTACAAAGTTATCCATGAACAGCCAGCTACAAAGTTATCCAGCAAAAAAATAAATAAATCACAGTAGCATTGTTGCTGCTAGTCTGACGGCAGGTGTTTAAAAGGGCCCTGAAATACAAATAAATACATTCAGTTTCTGTTGAATTTGAGGACTGAGATAGGTAACAATCTTTCAGCAGAAAAGCACACCAAGATACCCCCCTCCCCACACACTCAACACACATCATCACATCCCACACTACAACCAGAACCGAACCTCCCAGCCTGGATCAACTATATATATTCTTCTGGTATTCGAACATTGGAAAGAGTTGAAAATGACTAGATTGTATGAAGAAAGAGTGATTAGGCGATGTCATGTTTGTTTGAATATTAGTACATCGTGTGTGCAATTATTTATTTTGTGTTCGT